TCCAGATCTCAACCCCATAGAAAATCTTTGGAGCGAGTTGAAAGTCCGTGTTGCCCAGCGACAGCCCCAAAACATCACTGCTCTAGAGGAGATCTGCATGGAGGAATGGGCCAAAATACCAGCAACAGTGTGTGAAAACCTTGTGAAGACTTACAGAAAACGTTTGACCTGTGTCATTGCCAACAAAGGGTATATAATAAAGTATTGAGAAACTTTTGTTATTGACCAAATACTTATTTTCCACCATAATTTGCAAATAAATTAGTTTAAAATTCTACAATGTGATTTTCTGGATTTTTTTTTCTCATTTTGTCTGTCATAGTTGACGTGTACCTATGATGAAAATTACAGGCCTCTCTCATCTTTTTAAGTGGGAGAACTTGCACAATTGGTGGCTGACTAAATACTTTTTTCCCCCCACTGTATATGAGTGGTCCTGGGAATCAAACCCACTATCCTGGTGTTACAAGTGCCATGCTCTACCAACTGAACTACAAACGACCACAAAAAGTAATATCTCATGTTAAATTCAAATGAAATTTTGCGTCAAGTGAATGCAGTTTATAAAAATGAACAAAAATACATACCATTCACAAAACAATACAAAACAATACATCCAATAAATGATATATTGTGATGTCACATTCTGATCTAATTAACTTTGCCATCACACAATCCTTCCTAACACAGAAACAAAGAATAAGAGATCATAGTAACAATCATACAGCTGTCTACTTTATCATCAAATCCCCTTCACTGTAACCTGAAGAAGTTTATTCCAAATCACTTGAATCTGCATCCGACTCTGAATCAGTGGTTTCCATAATGACCTGCGATCCAACTGTGAAAACGTCCACATACTCTCTCAAACACACACACACACTCTCTCGAGTCTGGCACCAGCTCAACGGATGTCTGTCTATTGGTTTGAGGGAGGAAGAGGGTCTCATCCAAACTGATGCTTGTCACATCCAGCAGCTGCGCAGCACAAACGTTACAGTGAGGTGAAAGAGTTAATAACACACTGTCCATCAACACAGGATGGGACGGAGGACATTACAGTACAGTAGCGTTAACACACTCATTGTTGGAAGAGGCTGTCTTCTGTTGGATTTCCTGAGTCTACAGTACCAGTAAATGGTTATCCCTAATGAGCATCAAATGCACGATATTAGTGGCTTTGTAGTGACAAAGACAACCATTGGACCACTTCCCTAGAAGTGGAGTCTGCCACTAGCACAGTCAGTGTAGTCAGTTCAGCTATCCCCATTGAGAACGTGTCTGTGCCTCGATCTAGGTTGAGCAAAACTAAACATGGCGGTGTTCGCCTTTTTGTAATTTTTTAAAATATATTCTTATTTTTATTTTTTTTTGGGGTGGGGGGGGTGTTCACCTTATCAATCTCACTGGAATAAAGACCTCCTCCATTCTTGTCATTATTGAAAGAGATTGTGATATCTCACATCTCAAAATAGGGCTACTTAATGTTAGATCCCTCACTTCCAAGGCAGTCATGGTCAATGAACTAATCACTGATCATAATCTTGATGTGATTTGGCCTGACTGAAACATGGCTTAAGCCTGATGAATTTACTATGTTAAATGAGGCCTCTCCTCCTGGTTACACTAGTGACCCTATCCCCAGCAAATCCCGCAAAGGCAGAGCTGTTGCTAACATTTACGATAGCAAATTTCTATTTACCCCCCAAAAATGACTGCGTTTCTTGTCTTTTGAGCTTCTAGTCATGAAATCTATGCAGCCTACTCAATCACGTTTTATAGATACTGTTTACAGGCCTCCTGGGCCGTATACAGAGTTCCCTGAATTCCTATCGTACCTTGTAGTCATGGCAGATAATATTCTAAATTTTGGTGACTTTAATATTCACATTGAAAAGTCCACAGACCCACTCCAAAAGGCTTTCGGAGCCATCATCGACTCAGTGGGTCTCCAGACCTACTCATTGCCACAGTCATACCCTGGATCTAGTTTTGTTCCGTGGAATAAATATTGTGGATCTAAATGTTTTTCCTCATAATCCTGGCCTATGGGACCACCATCTTATTACGCTTGCAATCGCAACAAATAATCTGCTCAGACCCCAACCAAGGATCATCAAAAGCTGTGCTATAAATTCTCGGACAAGCCAAAGATTCCTAGAGGCCCTTCCAGACTCCCTCCACCTACTCAAGGACGACGGAGTACAAAAATCAGTTAATAACCTAACTAAGGATCTATATTTAACCTTGCATAATACCCTAGATGCAGTCGCACCCCTAAAAACAAAAAAACATTTGTCACAAGAAACTAGCTCCCTCGTATACAGAAAATACCCGAGCCCTGAAGCAAGCTTCCAGAAAATTGGAATGGAAATGGCGCTCCACCAAACTGGAAGTCTTCCTACTAGCTTGGAAATAAAGTACAGAGCAATATCGAAGAGCCCTCAGCTCGATCATCCTATTTTCCCAACCTAATTGAGGAGAATACAGTGAGGGAAAAAACTATTTGATCCCCTGCTGATTTTGTACGTTTGCCCACTGACAAAGACATGATCAGTCTATAATTTTAATGGTAGGTCAAATATTGTATAAATTGATTTGCATTTTAATGAGGGAAATAAGTATTTGACCCCTCTGCAAAACAAGTCTTAGTACTTGGTGGCAAAACCCTTGTTGGCAATCACAGAGGTCAGACGTTTCTTGTAATTGGCCACCAGGTTTGCACACATCTCAGGAGGGATTTTGTTCCACTCCTCTTTGCAGATCTTCTCCAAGTCATTAAGGTTTCGAGGCTGACGTTTGGCAACTCGAACCTTCAGCTCCCTCCACAGATTTTCTATGGGATTAAGGTCTGGAGACTGGCTAGGCCACTCCAGTACCTTAATGTGCTTCTTCTTGAGCCACTCCTTTGTTGCCTTGGCCGTGTGTTTTGGGTCATTGTCATGCTGGAATACCCATCCACGAACCCATTTTCAATGCCCTGGCTGAGGGAAGGAGGTTCCCACCCAAGATTTGACGGTACATGGCCCCATCCATCGTCCCTTTGATGCGGTGAAGTTGTCCTGTCCCCTTAGCAGAAAAACACCCCCAAAGCATAATGTTTCCATCTCCATGTTTGACGGATGGGGATGGTGTTCTTGGGTCATAGGCAGCATTCCTCTTCCTCCAAACACGGCGAGTTGAGTTGATGCCAAAGAGCTCGATTTTGTTCTCATCTGACCACAACACTTTCAATCAGTTCTCCTCAGAATCATTCAGATGTTCATTGGCAAACATCAGACGGCCCTGTATATGTGCTTTCTTGAGCAGGGGGACCTTGCGGGCGCTGCAGGATTTCAGTCCTTCACAGCGTAGTGTGTTGCCAATTGTTTTCTTGGTGACTATGGTCCCAGCTGCCTTGAGATCATTGACAAGATCCTCCCGTGTAGTTCTGGGCTGATTCCTCACCGTTCTCATGATCATTGCAACTCCACGAGGTGAGATCTTGCATGGAGCCCCAGGCCGAGGGAGATTGACAGTTATTTTGTGTTTCTTCCATTTGCGAATAATCGCACCAACTGTTGTCACCTTCTCACCAAGCTGCTTGGCGATGGTCTTGTAGCCCATTCCAGCCTTGTGTAGGTCTACAATCTTGTCCCTGACATCCTTGGAGAGCTCTTTGGTCTTGGCCATGGTGGAGAGTTTGGAATCTGATTGATTGATTGCTTCTGTGGACAGGTGTCTTTTATACAGGTAACAAGCTGAGATTAGGAGCACTCCCTTTAAGAGTGTGCTCCTAATCTCAGCTCGTTACCTGTATAAAAGACACCTGGGAGCCAGAAACCTTTCTGATGGAGAGGAGGTCAAATACTTATTTCCCTCATTAAAATCTAAATAAATTTATAACATTTTTGACATGCGTTTTTCTGGATTTTGTTGTTGTTATTCTGTCTCTCACTGTTCAAATAAACCTACCATTAAAATTATAGACTGATCATTTCTTTGTCAGTGTGCAAACGTCCAAAATCAGCAGGGGATCAAATACTTTTTTCCCTCACTGTATATTACACCAATAGTAGCCGAACACCTTGCTAGTAATGCCATACAGTATACTGTATCTGTATTAGTGTGACAGGCATCCCTGTAATTGACATGAATTCAATATGGTTATGTAACAGCAGTATCTACAATACATTATGGAATAAACTTTCCTCCATGTGTCGTAGGTTACCCAGACACCCCATCTGATACCCCATCTTCCATGCAATCAGCTGCCTGCCCTGAGCTGTCCAGTCCAGGCTGTCTTCATGGACCATGCCAGTGAGACCAGTTGTATGCTTTTAGAGTAGGGGATGGACATAATCTAATTTGACAGAACTATCTGGTGACAGAGGAGAGAGTGTGAGGGGAGAGGGACAGGGGGATGACTAAGAGGGGAAATCTATCCATCCAGCCCCAACATTACATATGAGCCCCCTAATAGACAGACCAGAGAAAACAGCTGTGATTTTCCCCCTGCTCATGGATGAAGCAACAATTCCCTGGATATCACAAGAACACCCTGGGATTCTGAAGACGCAGGCTGAGGTGTCCATTTCACACAGATATGGCACTTACAGCAATACAGCATTCATCACAGTTGTTACTATTGGACCACCCAACTAGCCGTACACCTTCATTTCAGTGTTTTGTTACACAGCTGATATGTGTAAGCAGATATCTCCCTTTGAGGGAGCAGGATGCCATTCTTCAAGCCAATTAGCACATATTATGGCAGGGAGATGGAAACATCTATGGTAGACTATAGACTAGAGCTGCTATATCACCAGATACCTCCCAGTGAAACGAGAGGAGAGTTTTCATGCCATTCTTCAAAACAATTACCACATATCATAGCAGGGACAGGGAGAGATAAACATTGAAGGTAGCCACACCGGGACTGTTATCTCACCACATATACTGCTAGCAAAATATATCATGCATCAAATATTATATTATATTATGTATGTATAATATAACTACTATGAGCTTCGAGAGAGAGAGAGAGAGAGAGAGAGAGAGAGAGAGAGAGAGAGAGAGAGAGAGAGAGAGAGAGAGAGAGAGAGAGATGTTGACAGAGAACAATGCCAGGGTTTCCTCTGTCAAGTTTAATCAAGTCAGGCTATTGAGCCAGGCACAGCCATGCTCCACAGGTCAGTTTGAGCATCAGTAGACCATGTCTCCACCAATGCCAATCACAACCAGTGAGAGAACAGCATGGAGGAAATGTTATGGTTGTCAATCTCACTGGAAATGTGTGCACAGAACAAAGACTAGGGGAAAATATAATGCCATAGGTATTTATGTAAGTCGCTCTGGATAAGAGCGTCTGCTAAATGACTAAAATGTAAATGTAAATGTATTTAAGGCCTCAGTTTATCACAACCCAGCCCAGAAAGTTCACGTGTGGCTCAGTTGGTAGAGCATAGTGCTTCCAATGCCAGGGTTGTGGGTTTGCTTCCCATGGGGGACCAGTACGAAAATGTATGCAGTTGCTCTGGATAAGAGCGTCTGCTAAGTTACTAAAATGTATATTAGGACAGATGCCAGGAAAAACAAAGGCTTTGTTAGTAGGAGAGAGCTGCCTAACTCTGGTGAAATTTGACATTTAATCTATCTGCTCGGCAGCTGAAAGGCTCTTATGATGAATTGAGCACTGCTTGGTGTACAACATCCTTGGGCAAAGTTCAGGCATGTATGTGTACCCATGTATGTCTGAGTGGGAGAAAGAAATATGTTTGAGAGAGTGAGTGAGCGAGAGAGAATCTTATTTATGTGACAATTATTCAGAGTCCTGACATCTCCCTAATGGCCAATAATTTGCCTTAATGTGAGGGAACAAGGTGTTTTGTGTTAGGCAGATATGAAAGTCCACTTAGCATACAACCTCCTCCACATCAAAGCCAGTAAGCCACTCAAACCTTTTTAACCACAAGGACTATTGTGCTGTCCTGTCTGTAGTCAACTCTTCACGACTCCCTCACCTCCTCCCCCAAAGCCAAGCTAACAGGGCTAGCATGCAAATATCACTTAAGTTCAATGTAAGCGTCTTTGGTAAACAGCACACCAACTTTTTTAAAGCAGTAATGGAGAAGATTTGTATTTGTATTTATTAGGGATCCCCCCCTCCCCCCTCTATTAACGTAGTAGAGGAAACTCCAGTGAGATACAACACATTTATTGTGTTTCCAATTATATTAAAAATATTTCAATGATGTATGAGTCTAGCAACAAAACAAATCTATCTTAACAGATCTATCAAAACAAATGCCTTTATGAGATTCATTATTTTATTATCTACCTTATTCAGTAGAACAATATGAAACTGTTTACACCTTCGGGTCTTATCTTTATCACCCTTTAGTTGTACTTTTTTTTTATTTATCTTTCATGTTTTATTCATAAAAATAAAAAAACAGGAGCGTGCTAATTAAGACAAAGGAGAGGAGGACAGATCAAATGGAGAGAGGCAGATGAAGAACACACATTTGAAGATGTAGCGTCTAACTAATACACCACCATAGCTTGTTATAGCCTAGCTCTTCATGGCTGTGGCTGCTACTCTGCTGAACATCAAAGCAGCGTATAACAAGATCTCTCTTTCTTTGTTTGTTGTGGAAAACAGAACAAAGAATTGTAATGCTATTAACGTAGTAGAGGAAACTCCAGTGAGATACAAGACATTTATTGCGTTTCCAATTATATTAACAATATTTCAATGATGTATGAGTCTAGCAACAAAACAAATCTATCTTAACAGACCTATCAAAACAAATGTTCTTATTTTTATTCTTGTACCTTTATGAGATTCATTATTTTATTATCTACATTATTCAGTAGAACAATATGAAACTGTTTACATCTTCGGGTCTTATCTTTATCACCCTTTAGTTTGACTTTTTTTCTTCATGTTTTCTTCATTATGAAAAAACAACAGGACCAAACTTCACACTGTTGCAAACGTTAGTCTGGCCAATTGACATTATACCATTGATATACAGTACCACTGTACCACCACCATGCCTTCAGAAAGAATTCACACCCCTTGACTTTTTCCACATTGTGTCACAGCCTGAATTTAAAATGGATTCAATTTAGATTTTGTGTCACTGGCCTACACACAATACCCCATAATGTCAAAGTGGAATTATGTTTTTAGAATTTTTTACTAATTAATAAAAAATGAAAACTGAAATGTCTTGAGTCAATAAGTATTCAACCCCTTTGTTATGGCAAGCCTAAATAAGTTCAGGAGTAGAAATGTGCTTAACAAGTCACATAAGTTGCATGGACTCACTTTGTGTTTAACATGATTTTTGAATGACTACCTCATCTCTGTACCCCACACATACAGTACATTCAGAAAGTCTTCAGACCTCTTGACTTTTTCCACATTTTGTTACGTAACAGCCTTATTCTAAAATTGATTAAATTGTTCTTTCCCCTTATCAATCTACACACAATATCCCATAATGACAAAGCAAAAACAGGTCTTTATAAATATTTGCACATTTATAAAAAATAAAAATGAAAATATCACATTTACATAAGTATTCAGACCCTTTACGCAATACTTTGTTGAAGCACCTTTGGCAGCGATTACAGCCTCGAGTCTTCTTGGGTATGACGCTACAAGTGTGGCACACCTGTATTTGGGGAGTTTCTCCCATTCTTCTCTGCAGATCCTCTCAAGCTCTGTCAGGTTGGATGGGGAGCGTCACTGCACAGCTATTTTCAGGTCTCTCCAGAGATGTTCGATCGGGCTGGGCCACTCAAGGACATACAGGGACTTGTCCCGAAGCAACTCCTGCGTTGTCTTGGCTGTGTGCTTAGGGTCGTTGTCCTGTTGGAAGGTGAACCTTCGCCCCAGTCTGAGGTCCTGAGCACTCTGGAGCAGATTTTCATCAAGGATCTCTCTGTACCAGTCTCCCAGTCCTTGCCGCTGAAAAACATCCCCACAGCATGATGCTGCCACCACCATGCTTAACCATAGGGATGGTGCCAGGTTTCCTCCAGACGTGATGCTTGGCATTCAAGCCAAAGAGTTCAATCTTGGTTTCGTCAGACCAGAGAATCTAGTCTTTTAGGTGCCTTTTAGCAAACTCGAAGCGGGCTGTCAGGTGCCTGTTACTGAGGAGTGGCTTCCATCTGGCCACTCTACCATAAAGGCCTGAATGGTGGAGTGCTGCAGAGATGGTTGTCCTTCTGGAAGGTTCTCCCATCTCCACAGAGGAACTCTGGCGCTCTGTCTGAGTGACCATCGGGTTCTTGGCCACCTCCTTCACCAAGGCCCTTCTCCCCCGATTGCTCAGTTTGGCCGGGCGGCCAGCTCTAGGATGTGTCTTGGTGGTTCCAAACTTCTTCCATTTAAGAATGACAGGTGTGTGCCTTTCCAAATCATGTCCAATCAATTACATTTACCACAGGCGGACTCCAATCAACTTGTAGAAACACCTCAAGGGTGATCAATGGAAACAGGATGCACCTGAGCTCAATTTCGAGTCTCATAGCAAAGGGTCTGAATAACTATGTAAATAAGGTATTTCTGTTTTTTATTTTTTATACATTTGCAAAGAATTCTAAAAACCTGTTTTTGCTTTGTCATTATCGGGTAGTCTGTGTAGATTGATGTTGGAAAAATAATTGTTTTATTTAATCCATTTTAGAATAAGGCTGTAACGTAACACAATGTGGAAAAAGTCAAGGGGTCTGAATCCTTTCAGAATGCACTGTACAACTATCTGCAAGGTCGCTCAGTCAAGCAGTGAATTTTAAACACAGATTCAACTACAAAGACCAGGGAGGTTTTCCAATGCCTTGCAAAGAAGGGCACCTATTGGTAGATGGGTAAAAAAAAAAGCAGACACGTGGTCCTCTGTAGCTCAGCTGGTAGAGCACGGCGCTTGTAACGCCAAGGTAGTGGGTTCGATCCCCGGGACCACCCATACACAAAAATGTATGCACGCATGACTGTAAGTCGCTTTGGATAAAAGCGTCTGCTAAATGGCATATTATTATTATATTATTATATCCCTTTGAGCATGGTGAAATTATTAATTAGACTTTGGATGGTGTATCAATACAACCAGTCACTACAAAGATACAGGCATCCTTCCTAAAGGCGTCTGCATGCTTCCCAGCTAAAACATTTTGGTAAAGTTTGTGCATATATTATGACAACATTTTGTGACGCTTTTGTTCGTTTTGGACTTCGTGAGACATTTTTTCTGTTGTTCGGGCACACCAAAACATTTCTGGAGGCAAGCAGAAGTTCGGAGCCGAAGTCTACGCCCCTTAATTGGTGATTGGTCAACTGTAGGGATTCTTCAACAAAGTCTTTGTTGTCATTCAACTAGAGATGACTCGTTTTCATGCAGATTTTTTCATTGAAAAATACTGCACCAAACATCTTAGTTAGATGTAAAATTGCGCGACTAAGATCTCTTTGGCAAAAACGTCAAAATTAATGACAGATTTCTTTAGTTATCTTAGATTAATTCTGACTATTTTGAGGAAGCGTATACTGGCTATGGCGTCTCAAAATGGACACACAGTACTATTGCCACTTTTTTATTGTTTTTCAATCGAAGGTCTTTTAAGGGAGTATGTGAACACACTCGTTGGCTAGGCGCCAGCCGAACTAAAGCATGCTGACGCCTTTACTCAGTTGCTGGAGAGGAAGGAAACCGCTCAGGGATTTCACCATGAGGCCAATGGTTACTTTCAAATAGTTCATGGCTGTGATAGGAGAAAACTGAGGATGGATCAACAACATTGTAGTTACTCCACAATACTAACTTAATTAACAGTGAAAAGAAGGAAGCTTTTACAGAATAATAATATTACAAAACATGCACCATGTTTGCAACAAGGCACTAAAGTAATACTGCAAAAAATGTGGCAAAGCAATTAACTTTTTGTCCTATATACAAAGTGTTATGTTTGGGGCAAATCCAATACAACACGTTACTGAGTACCACTCTCCATATTTTCAAGCATAGTGGTGGATGCATCATGTTATGGGTATGCTTGTAATAGTCAAGTACAAGATAAAAGGAAATGGACACAGGCAAAATCCTAGAGGAAAACCTGGTTCAGTCTTCTTTCCACCAGACACTGGGAGATGAATTCACCTTTCACTTTTTCTATCTAAAATATAAGGCCAAATATACACTGGAGTTGTTTACCAAGACGACATTTAATGTTCCTGAGTGGCCTAGTTACATGTTTTACTTAAATCGTCTTGAAATCTATGGCAAGACTAGAAAATGGCTGTCTAGCAATGATCAACAACCAACTTGACAGAGCTTGAATAATTTTATGTAAATTAGATATTTCTGTATTTCATTCTCAATACTTTTGCAAAAATGTCTAAAAACATGTTTTCACTTTGTCATTATGGGGTATTGTGTGTAGATGTGTGAGAAAAAAATCAATTTAATCCATTTTGAATTCAGGCTGTAACAACAAAATGTGGAATCATTTCTGAAGGCTCTGTAGCCACCTGAGAGCTGTCATTGTACGAGGGAACACCAGGAGGCACTGTCTCTCTCAATCACAGCCTGACACTGGATTTAATTATCCCTCCCTGATACTGTCACATTTCTCTCCTCCCTCGTCTCCTCTAATTTGAGCTAGGAGCAGGTCACTGTGCCACAAAGCCACTGTGCCTATCTATGACTGCTTCCAGTCAGCCAATCAGAACAGCCTGTAGACTCACTACTGAATTTGCCCTGACTACTTCCTCTGTTAACACCTCTCTCCCCACTGGGCTACGCGACTCCAAGAATCATAACGCTCTTTCAGTGGTCATAGCCTCCTCTAACCCCATCATATAGCTTAATCCCTGCTGTATAACTGTCCTCACACCACACTGACTCAATGACTGACTGACTGAGTGAAAGAGGGAGCCCCAGGTCTTCATTGATTGACTGTTCTAATCAGTGTGATAGCTGCTGCTTTCTACACCTTAGGACCAATTACCTAAATAGCATTGTTCCACAGCTATACAAGGACAGAGAAGAATGGCTGAACTTCAAGTAGCTGTCAAGGGAAGAGCTTTTGTTAGGTTAACACAGTGAGATGAAACCCTTACAAACAAAGCGTATAAACACAATTGGAGCAAACTTTTCTTTTGCCATTAATCTGTACTGTATCGCACATAAAGTAGGCCTACTTGCATAACTTTACATCAAATGTGATGCAGTACTTCATAATACACACCACTTGATCTACTGATCTGACTTTTTCTATACAACCTCTCTTCCACAATCTCTTCAGTAATAGTGCAACAGCGGTGGAATTGTAATATATGAAAAGCTGAACTTTGGGATGACTTTCCCTTAAGTGGGATCTGAGAGAGGCTGCTGACTGTTTCGGACACAGTGGGGCTCTTCACTATGAAAGACACACAGTGAGGTGGCCTACAGAGAGCGCCTTTCCATCAGAGAAAGAAACCTGCTCACCTCTTCACTCTTATCCTAACCCTCTTTCTCAAACTCTCCATCTATCTCTCTCTCTCTTTTACTCTCTACCTTCCACTTGTTCCCAATGAGGTGATCTTGTTCATGGACTGAATGTGCAGAGTGGGGTGTTACATACCGGTGTTACATATTCCAATCACTTACATACTATATCTGGAGGAGATTGGAAAGAAGTAGGTTTCACGCAGTATTGAACAATCTTTATATGGCCTTTTCAGAGATAAACCAACATACCCCTGCAGGGCTTTCTCCCCAAACCAGTCTCCTTTGCCCAGGGCTCGCAGGTACACAGGCATGTCATTGGGCAAATCCTCCCTGGTGACGTTAACCTGTCAGAAAAGAGATCAGCAGTCATTCAATGCTTTAATAGAGGGGCCTTATTCCGAAACCCCCACGGAAGGAGAAAGACAGCTAAGCCAGTAAGCCTATGTCTTAAAATAGCAACAATTCCGATTTAACGGCAGGGAGTTCCATCACAAATAGAGTATATACCCTCAGGAGGATAAGATCACCTCTTAATGACATTGAACTAACCTCTACTGTAATCACCATAGTAGACATTCCATGGCTAGCCCCACTGACGCCATGCACCTCTACTATTAATACATGCGCCTCTCTTAATAATGGTTGGTCTATGTGATGTTGATGGTGTCATCCCTCACCTTCCCCTTGCTGATGATGAAGAAGGTGTCACCTCGGGCTCCTTGTCTGACGATGTACTCCCCATCCCCGTAGTGCGTCTGTAGGGAGAGGAAGAGAAGTATCACTCAGCTCTGTCATGAACTGTCCGAAGAGGTCTGGCTGAGGACAGGCTTCTGTCAGACCTCTTCGGACAGGCACGCAACTACCATGTTGAATCATCACCAGTTGCCCCAATGTAGAACAGCAGTTAGGAAAATAGAATCACTGTGTACACAGACCATGTACTGACAAATGAGACCATAGAAGACACGAATGACATCAATATCAGTTACGATGTTAAAAATGATACATTCTCTTTTTCTGAATGAAACATCATGCATTTATCAGATTGTGACTGAAACTGAGATACAGGGCTGCTGATGCTTCACGTCCGTCCTTGGCAGCAGGGCTCTATGTGAAGTGTTTCCCTTTCAAGCAGTGACATGTTTCCAATAATTAGCTCCCTCCTTCCCACTGCTCAGATGTGGTCAGATAAAGAAGGAGAGACCTTTTAACATCTACTGCTGGGTGATAAGCCTTTTAATTTCATGTTCTGTTAACATCTCATTGATGTTGTCATTCATTCTCCCCCTGACGGCTACTCACTATGGTGTAGCACTGAGTAGTTCTAAAGGACCAATCAGGGACTACCCTCAAAGTTCCCTTCCTGACATTTCATTGAGTTATTTTAATCTTGCACCTTGAAAGTACATCTTGGAGAACATAATCCACTATTAGATGTCAATGTCACGATCGTCGGGAACAGAGGACCAAGGCGCAGCGTGGAAGGTGAACATATCTTTATTATTTGAGTAATACCACGAACAAAACAATAAACGATAACGTGACGTCCTCGGTTCAGACACAAACCTAAACAGGAACAAGATCCCACAAACACTGTGGGAAAACTGGCTGCCTAAGTATGGTTCCCAATCAGAGACAACAAGCAACAGCTGATACACGTTGCCTCTGATTGAGAACCACACTGGCCAACATAGAAATACTAAACTAGAACAAACACAAATGAAAACTCACACCCTGGCTCAACATACTAGAGTCCCCAGAGCCAGGGCGTGACAGTACCCCCCCCCCCCCCCCCCCCCCCCCAAAGGCGCGGACTCCGACCGCGCCAACCAAACACGCCAACCAAACACCACAGGGGAGGGACCGGGTGGGCACTCCGCCTTGGCGGCGGATCCGGCTCCGGGCATGATCCCCACTCCCTCTCTAACCCCCCAAAGTACCCCTGGTCCGGTCTGACCCTGCTGACCGGAGCTGGACTGCACACCGGTGGAGCGGATTGCTCTAGCTCCGGCGTGACGCAGCTGACCCGTGCCGAACCAGGCACCGGTGGAACAGGCACGGGCTGTGCCGTACTGACGACGCACACTACTGGCTTGGTGTGGGGAGCAGGAACGGGCCGAGCCGGGCTGACGAAACGCACCACTGACTTGGTGCGGGGAGCAGGAGCGGGCCGGACCGGGCTGACGAAGCGCACCACTGACTTGGTGTGGGGAGCAGGAACGGGCCGAGCCGGGCTGACGAAACGCACCACTGACTTGGTGCGGGGAGCAGGAATGGGCCGGACTGGGCTGGCGATGCGCACCACAGGCTTGGTGCGGGGAGCAGGAACGGGCCGGGCCGGGCTGGCGAAGCGCACCACAGGCTTGGTGCGAGTGGCAGGCACAGGCCGGACCGTACTGGGAACACACACCACTGGCCCTACGCGGGGATCAGGAACAGGCCGGACCGGACTGGCAACACACCCCAGTACCTCTCCCCGTGCCTCTACATCCTCCTTCCCCCTGGTGACCAGTGGCTCCTGTAACCTGGCGGCCTCCTGCTGCCCCGTCGTCCACGGCGTGAGCCCACCCCTAAAAAATTTCAGGGCGTCTCTCCTACCCGTGGACCAGGTCTCCATGTCTCTCGCCAGACTTTCGCCCTTCTGCTTCCAAGTCCAGCCTTTCTCTTCCTCACACGGCTTGACCCAGTCGAGGAGGCGAAGGAGATCTGCTAGAGATCTCCCTGGCGATGGCTCCTGGACACGCTGCTTGGTCCAGTCTTGGTGGGATCTTCTGTCACGATCGTCGGGAACAGAGGACCAAGGCGCAGCGTGGAAGGTGAACATATCTTTATTATTTGAGTAATACCACGAACAAAACAATAAAGTGACGTCCTCGGTTCAGACACAAACCTAAACAGGAACAAGATCCCACAAACACTGTGGGAAAACTGGCTGCCTAAGTATGGTTCCCAATCAGAGACAACAAGCAACAGCTGATACACGTTGCCTCTGATTGAGAACCACACTGGCCAACATAGAAATACTAAACTAGAACAAACACAAATGAAAACTCACACCCTGGCTCAACATACTAGAGTCCCCAGAGCCAGGGCGTGACAGTCAAGATATCACCTCGTCAGTTGCGAGACACTTTATAGAACAGAATCATTCTATTAATGAATTGCGTTGCGTCGGGATCGAAAAAGTATATCCACCACTTAGAGGAGGTAACTATGACAACAGATTACTCCAAAGAGAAGCCATGTGGATATATAAATTAAATGCTGTATCTCCACACGGTTTAAACAAACAATTCGATTTCACCTCCTTCCTATAAACCATATTTAGACTGTTATAGAAGAACACTGTCCATATCAGTTTTTGCACATCGTTTATGAGTTGGCCCCACATATTTATGAACGGCTTTGCCTGATGTCCTTTGTGGTGGCCTATCTCATGAATTGACGTGATGTATTTAGGTGAGCGGACACCTGCGGCGATTGATTTGTGAGTTGCCCTTCGTGCCCGCACCCATACCCTATAATTCTGTATCTCTTTGTGACTAATTTGTATACAGGTAGACCAGAAAAGCCACATCCCTGATTGGCAGATGAGTGGCAACCCTGATTAGAAGCACCTGCTGCTCATCTGTTGTTCTTTACAAATGCTGTTTTGAATGAAAGAATTGTACCAACACACTGAAGAAGGCTGTAAAGCCGAAACGTCTGTGTACGCTATCCCTGATGCAGTAAAAACATTGGAATAATGAAGTAAGCTTTATGCAACATATTTTTGAGTGCGAACCCATTACACCTCTTTGTAGGCCAGGGAGGAAGAAAAGCACACAGCAACAGCTCAGGGACAGGTCCCCCAGGCTATAGGACTTAGCTGCTCTTTTCCCACTCTTTGGTTTTCAGAGTGGCAGGAAGTCAACTCAGCTTCTATATAGGTGGCACTAGATTAACTTGGACTTTGGTGGAGGGAATAATGAAACACAGTAGGGATGAGTGTTTAAAAAAGAATACTACTAAAGTACTTTCTTTCGCCATGATAAATAAATAGGTCTGAGGTAAGAGTAGATAAAAGCAGGTTTTATGGATTGGTGGTAGTCAACAGCTTTGACTTTCATGTCAAAGTTGGGTGCATCAAGAAGAAAAGATCAACTGGAGCTCGAAGCCAGGTCCCCATATTCATTTAAAATAGACAGCAGATCCATTTCAATAAAGATGGAGTGAAGTGGAGGGTCATGAATTGGAAATGAGACTCCTTGGTATAATGGGCAGGCTTATCAAGGGGAAATTATGGCCTGTAGTGTATGTACCATCGCTATGCATCAAATAATAAATAATTAAAATAATAAATAAATTGCATCATTTCCAATCATCTATATTCGATTATGATTGACAGGTTGTGGTAACATTCCTTTGTCATTCCTCTTTCTTTTAGCATGTGACCTGTCTGCCACCCATCGATGGGTGATACAGGTGTAGGATCTTAATTTGAGCCAGTTTGCTAAAGCAGGAAAATAATCCTGCAGCAACAGGAAATGTGAATTATTATGTGGATTAGAATTAATGGAATTTTTTGTAGGGATTTATACATTTTTCGTCACGGAAAATCAAGTCTGACATTTCTAAGTGGAAATTGCAAACTTCAGAAGCCTTTTTAAACCTCAAATACACTACACGTTTTACATTTCCTGCAATGCAAGAAAGTTATCCTGCAACAGTGTGATCAAATTTAGATTCTACATCTGTAGCTGCTTAATTACCCTCACACATCAGATGGAAAACAGTGAACTCTTGACATGCTCTGCTCTGCATGAGCCAGAACAGAACAGTGTGGGAACGGAGAATGGCCGCCCACTCCCCTAGCTGACCAAGCCCAGATGTCTGAAATAAAACATAAACCTCTACTCCCAATCCAACTGCTGCCTGCTTGGACACACATCCATAGTATGATTCTGGGGGTTTGATACCACCATGATTAATATCTGCATTGTTTACATTCTTGATACTGTACAGTTTCTTCATACCAGGCACCATGGTACTGTGTGTGCTGTATGTTTCTCCAGCTCTGGAATGACTGTACAGTAAACGGTGTTAAACAAACACAGCTCACCGATTTATTTTTAGAGAGTAAAGAGTGTTTAAGCTAGTCAGTATTTATTTACCAGACAGACTCGGTAGGGAGGATCAGTCATCAGCAGTGACAAAGGTGAACTGTCTTTCAACAGCTCTTTCTTGTTTATTTCTGCGCTTTAGTATATTTTTAGGCCTGGAAGAAAATGGCAACAGTATTCGTTGAAGCTGCATGGGAAAAATCCATTAAGATGGAGAAGAAAAAAATCTATGGCTAATTTAAGGGAACATTACTTTTTGGGCTGACCCAGACTTTGTTTTTCTTTCTCCCAAATTGAAATAAACCACCTGTGTCAAGAGCAGTGTTTGCTAAGGAATGGGCATTCCAATGAGTAGAAGACAGATACTTGTCCCCATACAGTAGCTAAACTATATAGCATAAATATAACATACTAGTGTATACTGCTTAAAACATCCTAACACCTTTTTAATCTCACTTTCAAAGATGAGTTGAGAAGTGATTAATGTGTTGAGTTTTAAAAAGTTATAACTTACCAGAAGAATCTTAAGATCTTATTTTCATTATGAATGGTGGCTAAACATCAAACAGTAGTCTTGGAGTGGAAGTAGTGGGTATTTCTCATTATGTAATTGGCAAGTCATTAAAGGACAGGAAAGGCATGGTTGAAGTGCGATGATGAAAAGATGCCCTTGCAGACGCGGAACATTCCGCTCCACAACACTCAATTACTTCCTAACTTCTTGACTTTACATATCTACCACTTTAATTTGACAAGAATCAATT